GGCGCCTATGCAAGAAAGCGGGTGAAACAAAGCGTTCTTCTCAAGTTTATTCTTTAATTTTTTGTCTCGTAAGACTCTGCACAAAGCTTTTTTGCTTTTTGACATTAAATACATCGTAAAAGAAAACATTAGTGATAAAACGGGAGACTGAAATAGCCATTAGCAACGAAAATTACAGCGGTAGCACACGGGAAAGTGTAAGATAAATGCTCGAGTGAACACTAACGAGCATCTGGGAAGGATATATTTAAAAAACCCACCTCAAGTCAGTTTAGCTTGGCGACAAATGTTTTTTAAACATTATAAAACTAATGAAATAACGAGTAGTGGTTTATGTCGAAGCCCCTTGTTAATGAATGTAAAATAAGCAGACAGTGAAGGTCACAGAACAACCTGCCGTCGTGTTTCGGCTTATTTTATTTTCTTGGAGAATTTGCATTTGCCCTCAAGCGCATGAATGATGAGGTTGAGCACTAGAGTACAGAGTGCAATAAAAATCAATGCCTCTGTTAGAGAACCATATCTGTGGATAGTTAGTTACGGTGGATTGAAAAGAAGTTCGGTTTATTGTATGGCAGTAAAGTGAGACTCACGGTTCGAGGACGAATGATCTTTAAGCTTGGTTGGGTTCGCCGCGAGTGCGACATTTTTCAAACTATTGTGTGAAGTTACACCTGTCTTGGCGGACAAAACAGGAAACAGCTGAATACGAAAACTAAAGATTTTTCTAACGACAGTTTAATTTCTTCTGGACAGGTCACTTAGTATTCTTTCTTTAACTAAGACTGCAAAACAGAAGAAAGAGAACGCTTGTGTCCCGTCCACTGGATCCCAGCCACATGTTATTTACAACCTACTGAACTACGCTAGTTTAAAATCATTCCTTTCTCGACACGAGTCCGGAAAACTTGGCCAAATAGAAACAATTCTTATTTTTCTGTGCCGCACGCAGAGAGACTTATAGAAACACATTGAACCAAGTTGTCAAAACAAAGTGACAGCTTTTTTTGTGTGAATAACGTTAAAGAATGAGTGTTTTTTTCAGTACTTAGTTCAGGTTATTGAATTCCAAAGCTACTGGAATTGATAAACTATGCATTCTTAGCAAAAAATTAATTTGTATGAGACGTTTTTAAGTTTCCTTTCATCTTATTTGGATCAATGTCTTCTCTGCCTCCTAACTTTAATTAGGGTAACAGCTTCCTAACAACGTCACTAGCTGTATTAACAACCGAACCTTCGTTCGTATTTTTTTAGCTTTATTCAAATGACTTCAAAATTGTCAATTTACTTAGGGAAAGATGTACATAAAGTTTAAAAAGCTTTTAATGATAGTGGCGGGCTTTTTTCTTTGCTTGATTTTAGTCCCTCGGGCACAACATCAATCTCCTCCCACTAAGTTGAGTACGTTCATCGTGTATAAGCTACCAGTTCTGTCAATAACGTTAATCCACGATCTTTTAATTAAAAAAACGCCATTGAATTTGCCGACCGGAATTGCGATTTTCATCTTCTTTGTTTATCAAGAACCCATAGACTGTGGAGAAAAAAACCACAGACAGTATTCTCGTAGGATCTTCGCCAAAAGGTCGCGTTCAAATTATTCATCTAACATTAGATTTTAAAGTTCAAACCTGATGTCAAGCCACGAAATTTAACATTTACTGAGCCAAAATTTCTTCTTTTTACGATCTAGATGACCCAAACAATATGACAAATTTTAAAGATAATTTGTTCCTATTTAGGCCATCGCGAGCTAGACAACGAAGCAATCACAGAGACCATAAGCGGAAAAGCAACCCACCATGACGCCCTTTACTTTCATTAATTTCCTTTGAAATTGTGAATAACTGGTGGTGTCTAAATGAATAGCTAATTTAGATTCAACTATAATCCTATGAAAAAGTATCTTTTTGCTAAAGAATCTATATGGATGTATATTTGCTTTAAGCCGTCAAATAAAGAGAAAGAAACATTTTATTTTGGGCTTTCATAAGAATATTAAGAGTCTTGTTCCAATATTTATGAAAAATTGCATGAGTCAATCTTTGACTCGTAAACAACGTGTCAGAAAAATTTGCATATGAATTTGCCAAAATGACAAAGTTTTAGAAAAATCTGTTCGACGGTCACACCGGTGAGGTATTGTGAGAGCGTTCTTTGAAGCGCTCAATTGACCAAACAAGAGTCGGGAGTTGCTTATAAATGTTATAGCTACTTTCTTTTTAAAGATTTCTAAAGAGACTGACCCATTTTATGTTCTTTAAGGAACTGAACAACAGCCCTTTAATTGCGAAGAGAATGAATACTATGGGAATAATGCTTGCAAGAGAATTAACCCCTAAGGACGTTTTAGCGTTAATTGCTTTCCTAATGAATTTTTGCTCCCAATGAAAGAAAGGGGTCAGTAACATTGAATAAAAGTTGATGACCCACCAACATTGCTCAAACAGCGTGTTGATTAAGAAAGTTTCGCGCAACGCGCCTCCCTGCTGTGCTTTTACACGCCTCTCATTGCGTTTGCGTGCATGAGCAAACATATTGAACGGTCATAGGAAGTAAGACAACATGTGGATTGCCACGAGAATCTTGTTTATACTAACAGCGCGATAATTGCCATCTGCGAATCCGCATTTCGAATTAATTTCAAAAGAAGTAGCAGTATTTTTGAAAACGTTTGCTTACTTTATAAAGTTGTCTGTTACATCTTTTCACGAGAGAAGGAAGATATACAGAAAAAAGCGAACATTTGAGATTTAAATAAGACGATTCAAAGTTCAACAGAAGGTGAATGAACAGTATTTTTATCGAAGAATAACTAATCAAAACTGTAGTGTATCTTTTAACACGTGTTTTATTATTTGTAAAGAAAAAATCGGCGAAGAGCTTTGTAAAGTTGAACAATATTACCTCTGAAGCTTTTATGTTAAGACAAACAATTTTCACCGGGATCTGTCAACATGGATCAAAAACAGAGGCTATACTCAATACAGTTAACTAGTATCATACAGGTTCACGCCTAAACTTGATTTGATAGAATCGACGAGAAATCATTACAAAAATTGATTAGCAAATTCTGGAACATATAACTGGATAGTTCTCTTGGTAATTAAAGTGGTTTTCGTCAGTCTTTATTTTCGATGTAGAGGAACGGCACAACCTTAAGAGAAATTAAAACAAACAAACAAACGTATTTTTAATTATATTGCAACAAGTAAGCCAGTTCTCATAGGCTCATTATCATAAAACATCACTTACACTAAGAATGTGTTAACTTTTTGATGAAGCTGAAAATAATAAAAAGTTATTTCAGCCTTTATGTCACTGATATGGTTGATCTAAAATGACGGTGTTTTATCGCATCTCAAAGAGATATTAATGCCGATTGTCACAGTTACTTATCGGTTAGCAATAACTGAATGTTGTTCCTTGAAAATGTTACGCCCAGGAAAATTATGTCGTAGATAACTAGTCATCTTGCCATTATTTTTGTTGTTGATGTTTTTTTCTCGAATAGTGTCTGTGTAGTCAATAAGAAGGCCAGTTTTGGCCAGCTGCCAGCCCACTCAGACACCAAGGTAAGGATTCTGACTTACAGCTTGAACGGAGCTTACTAAGTCACCAATGTAATCTGCGGCGATGAACAGAAGTATCAAGGAAGCCAAGAAATCACTAATTCTTGTAGCCTGTGCTTATATGTAGCCTGTGCGGCTAAACTGTAGTCTGAGCTAGATTGAAGCCTACGCAAAGTTGTGCCCTGTGCTTAGTTGAAGCATGTGCTATGTTGAAGTCTGTGCCAAGTTTTAGCCTGTACTATGTTGGAATCTGTACTATGGTGATTAGTATACAAAGCTTTCGCAAGGGATTATCACACTTTTGTTTCTTAGCGAATCTTCAAGCTTGCAAAAAATCATGAAAAATCTAGATTGAACAGTGAATTCAAATCGTAACCTTCTCTAACCTTGTTTTCTCAGTCTTCACAAAAACTATGTTGTTAGTTTAATTTTACATCTTATTCCTATTACATCTTCATACCTATCAGTGATGCAATCTGCTCGAGTTTTTGCAATACATTGCGCACGAGTGTTGGGAATCATTGCACTTGAGTGTTGAAATCATTACCGTGATATTGAGACATTCTGAATACATAAGCAAGAAGGTAGCTGTTGAATGAAGGAAGATGATTCGGCCACAGATGATTTTTTAGTGTCAACTGATCGAAGAAATTTATCTAGACGATCAACCGCGACAAGGTATGGACGGATAGTTGCATTCTTAGGCAGAACTTTCATTAGGAAGAGAAGAATATTATTGGGCTTTTATATCGTGTGATTCCTGGGAAAATGATAGATATCTCGGAAGGAAAACTGCTCGACATCAATAAAAGAAAGATGGCCTCTTGTGAAGAGATCATCTTTTCAGTTCCTTCTAGTTTAGAAAACGGGGTATTTAAAAGGAATGATGACAAGATCTTCTTTCTCGACTAAGTTCTGCCAATGGGATAAAGTGTCAGGTTAAAGGTTCCTCTGCCGCAATTGATAACGAATTTCGCCCACACAGAAACAATTCTGAACTTGAATGGAATAGCTGTCAAAAGAAGAATTAGCGGCATGATTGATCACATCTCAGAGTTTTGCTTGCCGCCCCGGCAAAGTCGGTCAACCAAATAGCCTATCAGTTCAATAAAAAGTGTTCCTGGGGGCAGGCGCTTATATTATTTACATGCTCAAGACTTCTCGATTCGTTTACATCAGGATCTACGTTAACTTTTTCCAAGGTACAATTTTATATTTAGGAATACCTGTATCTATCCCATCTTGCTTTCTTGCGTCAGTACTTCGAAACAGACGTAATCCAAGCCAGGGGCCCGTTTCTCAAAGGTCCCGCTAAGTTAACGGGCTCATAAAGCTATATTGTTCTCAGTCAAGATGAGGGTTTTAAAAGTTTTTAAAATTATACAGTAAAACTATCAGGTCAAGAAACAAAATGGAATGGTTAGAGGGCCAGAATCTTCTTCTCTTTTCTTTCTTTTCTTTTCTTTCTCTTTTTGATTTTTAAACATAATATGTCTTCGGGCCAGTTAAGAGCGAGTGTCACCAAAACATCTCGTATCTGACTCTTTCAGATAATTGAAACGATTTAGTTTTCGCGACGGAAATTCATTGTGAATCGTTCTAGCAGCAGAACATCATAAAATTCAGATGTAAAACTAAAAATATAACCTCTTCTTGTCTTTTATTCGAAGTGACTACAAAATTGAATTTGACGAACAAAATATGCGTAGTACTTTACTTTTTATTTACAAGGCCTTAGCATTAATGCAGTATGCTTAGAATTTCCACATAAACATTAGCTTTAAAGGTGGTATACAGGAACAGGATATTTGGATTTTGAGTGGAACCAGCCCAGTTTCTGTCTCACAAAAGTGTACCAGTGCCTAACAGGTACGCTCACTTCAATCTTCAATTATTTACTATTGTCGTGCCCTTCTCTCTAAACTTGACAAATAACCGTATGTTAATTTGCTTGAAATACGCCTCGATTCCAACTGAAAACGAATACGGGTATAAAGGGGTGCTTTGTTTCGAGTAAAGGAATTAATTATTTGCTTTTAAAGCTCCAGCCATCCACCAGAAGACGGTCACTGAAAAAAAAAATTGCCGATGTATTGGCAACACTAGCTAAAATACAAAGTGTACCCTCTTAATCAGCTATTTTACTTTGTGCCTGACGACATAATGTTGACGTCTATCAAAATTGTGTGCATTTTCTTTCTTCAGAAATGGACACAATCACCTTGGAAGCCTGTAATATTTCGGCGTATAACGTATTTCACTAGAAGTAGACAGATGCATGATTTTTTACTAAAAATGAGAGTTGGGCTCACCAGGTGGACTTGTAACCTGATATTGTGTAATTTATCTGGTGGATTTTGCTGCCTAATACCAGGTGGTATGTCAGGAATACCATCTATTACAGGAATTTTTAATTTGCCAAAGTGCAACAGCCCATCAAAAGCAACATCCCCGAAGGTCGCCTTCAACACCACGATGAGACAAATATATCTGTTTCTGTTCTCTTTTTTTGCCTTACTTATCACGTTGGTAGCCCCAATGGTTATCGGAAAAGGGCATCCCGAGAAAAACGAAGAGTCTCCATTTCCAGAGACAAACAAAACCGCTGCAGAATCTCATGATGAAAAGCAAAACCTTTCATTGAATCGTATCATGATCATCAAGGAAAACTACAGCTACGAGGAAACAAATTTACCCCAAACCCTTCGAGGAAAATGTAAGCTATCTTTAGATCGACTGAATATATCATGAAATTAATATAGCATGTGATCTCAGTATGGGGTATATACTAGTTCTAAAGGGAAAAGGCATCCACGTTTAACGTATTGTAGGATGGATAAGGGAGAGTGGTACTCAAGAACATTCCGGATGAATTGGACTATCTGCTGAACTTACTTAAATTGATTTCAGACCATTGCTGGAAAGATATACTTAATGTTTTTAATCAAAGCAAAGAAAGTCTGCATTGTAAATGATGATTAGTTCTATCTTTTATCAGCATCTCCTGATACCAACATTAAAGTTCCTATCAAAGGATCCACAGCAAAAACAAAACATGATACCACATCAGAGGACAAAGACCGCGATTTTGATGGCTGTCGAAAAGAGGATATGATCGTCCACACAGCAGAGCTTGGCTTGCCAACAAAGTACATCCAACCTAAGACAATCAACGCCTATCAGTGCAAGGGGAAGTGCTCCCCCAAGCAGTGGAGAAAATACAGCCTTCACTCGCTGCTCAAGGCGTATTTGGAGGAAAAGAAAGGTATCAGTGTTGATAACAATGCATGCTGTGTGCCAACTAAGCTTCGACCGATGTCTCTTATCTATTACGACGAAAAGCTTGGCTTTGTGAGGCACATCCTTGACAATGCGATTGTTCAGGAGTGTGGTTGTTACTGAAAGCATTGCCAATTAATTTCCTCGAAATGGGGGAATTTAGAGTTTATTTGTTGAACGAAATTATATACAATCGACCAAGCCGTAGTATACGGTGCTACGTAGATTAAGCCCAGATGCATTAGTTAGAGTGACATGTTACGATTTTGTAGGTTGATTTTAACAGTTGAGTGAAAAAGGTAAAATTTTATTCCTAAGTATGCTTGTATCAATCCCGTCTTGCTTTCTTGCGTCAGAACTTCTAAACAGACGGAATCCAGGCCAGGGCCCATTTCTCAAAGGTCCCGCTTACTTAGTTGTTTTGAGTAAAGATGGGGGTTTTAAAAGTTTTGAAAATTATACGGTAAAAATATCAGGTCGAGAAACAAAATGGACTGGTTAAAGGGCCAGAATCTTATCTTTTGTTTAAGTTTTGATTTTGAAACATGATATGCCTCCGTGCCCGTTAGGTTACCGAAACTTTCGAGAAGCGGGTCCCTGGGCTGCTCTGTAATCCTCGGTGTTTCCAGAATTTGAGGATCTTTTTTTTTTATCCGCAAAAATTTAGAGAGAGCAGTACATTTTGGTAGAAATACTTAAATATTGACAACATAAAAGAGCTTGCTACATTAATAAATATTTTTTTGTGAGTCAGTAAATAGTTTTGAACCTGTAGTAAAAGTTAAGGGTGTGGTCTTTTCGTCCGCTTGAGAGTATTAAAGTGGACAGCTCTCACCGAAAGTGATGCACGTCTCGACAACCTGAACGGAAGCCGTCATTAGAATGGAGTTGTTTGAATTTGACCCGGGAATCAGGAGTTCCATGCTACAGGCGGCTAAGCAGCCATTGGTAATATTTAATATGTATTCCTACCTGAAGAGCGTTGTGTGAAAGCAATGATTTCAGTTAGAATTATGAATGATTATCCTATGAACCGCCCCCATGAATTCGCCCATGGCCAGCTTGTTGTCGTATTTTCCTCTCTATGACGTCAGAGGGTATCATGCCCTCGAGTGTTCTCAGACCACCTCGGTTACACGTGAAAAGAGCATGACTGATGTTGGCGTAACATTTAAAGCTTTCAGGTATCTTACGCTCCTTTACTTTTTGATAAAACTTATCGATAAATGTTCCATTTCTTTCTTCATCTATTACCTTCGTTGTGCTGTGTTGCAAATCCCAACCAACTGATGCCTCCGGAAACAGTTCATTTTGTTTTTCTCGGCTTCGTCTAGGGTTAGTTTTATATCAGTAAAATCCATGATGATGAAAAATAACGGAAGCAGATATACTGCGGACAAAGAAGCTTGTGTACGAAAACAAAAATGCAAAACAGACCTTAAGTGCAACAATATGATTGGTCATGGTTTCTACATTTGGGATTGATATTTACTGTTAGGAAGCGATGGTTTACGTTATACATGTAGCCCATGAAGCAATATCCTTTGTATAGAACATTTCTGGAATCAAAGAGGCATTAAACAAAACGAGTTGATTATATTCGAGTGGAGTCTTGCATTTTCTTGAAACGTCTCCTTCACTGATCAAGATTACTCTTTTCATAAAAAAATAATATACTGTAGCTTAGACGCGCTGATAGTGATAAAGTAGCGATAAATCTAAATGAATTAATTTCAAAGATGTAAAACTAGCGACCGAATGTTTTGTACTGCGACACGTCCTATTTTTATATTCCTCGTAATTGTAATACTGACGGCGACCCATGTGTCAGCCGCCGTACTCAATCATAGGGAATTGCAGGTATACTCATGAGGGATTATATTTAATGAGGACATATCTTAAACATTCCTTCCACCCTTCTACAATCTCTTAGCTATCAAAGGAAGTCTATCTCACGTTCATTACATAAGGTACTCAATGGCATATCAATAGCCACGTTCAATCGACATTACAGCGGCTTATGCTATTTTGCGAAACGAAACGAAACCAGGCGAGATACAACGGAACTAAAGGAATAATGCAGTTATAATAAAGATATAAGTAATCTTCAGTCGATAAGGAGGATTTTTATTTATTTCGCAAAGTAGTAATTTCAGAAGAGTCACTATTATGCGAAATCGACTATTTTCAACCTGTGGTGACAACTTGACCTCTTTCATGTCACAAATATACGTTTAAACATTACAAATTAGTATATCACCAAAGATTTTGGCCTCCTCTTGTTTCGTAAACTGTATTAAAATATATTTCGCCAAATAGTGATTTTAGGAGAGATACTATTTTGCGAAATGGACTATTAGTTGATTTCGCAAAATTGTAACTCTTTTGAAATTACTACTATGCGAAATGAATAAAAATCCTTCTTGTTAATTAGTGATAACTCCAAAATCATTGTGAAAGATATCTTTACCATATTGATAAATGTATTTGCATTATTCCTTCAGTTTTGTTATATCTCGCCTGGTTTCGTTTTGTTTTGTTTCGCAAAATAGTATGAGCCCATGACCGCCGTAGAGACAAAAAAGCATAGATGGCCACACGAAGCTAAGAGGAACCACCAATTTTACAGAAAAAAGGGCTACTGATCAATTTAAAACTTAACCTATGGTCAAAGTTACGTTAAATTCATATTTGTTTGAGTTCTGTTGTCCCTTCCCAGACGAACCTTGAGAACAACTATTCTTTGCAGTGACTGAATCCAGAACTTTGGATCGTCATGAGAAGTTTCATTTGCCTTTTAATTTCTCGGGCAATATCAAGGACCAAAGATTCGTAATAGAATCCTTTCCTGCAAGAATTTGTTTCCATTTGTAGCATTTTGAACTGTAGTATCAATAGATCTACAGCTTTTGACTGGAAGCGAAATCAGCCGTCCTTAAGAATATAAATATTTCATGGGAATTGACGGATGAAACCTTTGATATTGAAGATGAGCCGTGTATAGCCATAAAAGCTTTCATGCACTGATGTGGATCTGATGGCAACAAGAAATTGTACATTGCCATGTTAGGAGAAAACAGATGAAAGCGACTTGATCGCTAATTTTTTCTGTTATCTAGCGAAGATATCTACTCTGATCCTTCGAAGCCATCAGGTTTATTGTTCAGTTTTTCCCCGACATGTGCACCCGTGTTAAATAATTTAACACGGGTGCAATGCGCTCTGCTTTGTCTGACCAGTGTACGCGAATGTCGTTTATGAGCAAATGAAACTGAGTCGTCATTCTGGTAAACCCATTGCGGATAACAAATTCACAGAGCGATGGCAATTATTTGTGCAAGTATTTGCTATGATTTAGTAAGGGAGAATTGAACGCGATACATTATTATTAAGAGCAAAGGAACTATCTTCAAGAGCTTGAATGATCAAGGACGTAAGCGCTATATAAAATACACACAAACCTGCAAAAAGGTCTGCCTTGTATTAGCCACTACGCCAGTGTTGGTTCCAAAAAGGATAGATCTTTTTTCTGTTTTGTAGTGAGAATAAATCGTCACTTTCGGAAAACGACATATCATATCAGTTATGCAACCGGCATGGTGAGGTTCTTTGTCATTTTGGTGTCACGGACAATATAACCGAAAGCTTGGTCGACGCATTACTTATAGAAACGCAACGGGATTGTGAATGCAAAGTAGCTGCAGATGCAGATCAAACCACTTCTTCAAAATCGCAGCTTCGTCATGGATAATATAACAGGAAGCTTGGGCAACACATCGCTTCTAGGAAAGCACAGGGATTGGAAATGCAAAGCAACAGATGCAGATTTTAAACTACATCTTTAAAATTACTGCTCCATCAAAACAGACTTTTTAAGCTCAAACGGTAGTTCGCTTAGTTTATTTGTGTCTTAGGTCAACCATCGTGACTAGTCATTCGAGAAAATATCAGACTGAACTACCATTTAACACAAGCCTTGTCTCATATTCCATACAGTAAACAAGCAGTCCAGAACGATTCCGTACAATTGTACGTTTTAAACGCCTAGCGGAAGCAAAAAATTGCTACACTTCAATGCTCTAATGCTTCGTTTCGCTTTATCGAGGTTTTCTAGAAAAAGATAGAGTGTTTATTTTACTTTTCAGTCATTAATTCGCAACCCTCATACATTCCTTTTTATTGCGATAGGTCTGCCATGCCAGTCGCACCCAATTCGGTGGCCTGCCTGTAAATTCAACAAGATCCTCAATGAGTTATTCACTAAGCTAACCAATTTTCTTGAGGTGTTAAAAATGTATCTTATCAGTCGAACCGGTCAAGGGAACATGTGCATTCTAAAGTCCAGTGCGGCTATGTTTACTGTGATGGAATTTCGAGTTGTTGACGGGCGCGATTTATGTGACTTTCGATTTTCGTAACTTGTGGTCAACTTATGGGAAAAAAAAACAGATAAACAGAAAGCAAGCGTGACTGTTACTTATAGAATCTGTCAATTCACAAAGAAGAAAGCTTTGGGTTATATAAGCATTTGAATTCGGTTGGTGTACACACAGTCCTTCAAAAGTCGATCAGCAATGTTATTGAAAATAAGCCTGTGCTCTTTTTGAACCTCCAACAATTAAAATTTGCAAATTTGATCTTCTGCACTGGTAACGACTCTGTGAAACGATTAATTATTCAAGCAGTTTGAATAAAACAGACGTTTTCAAACATAAAATTTAAAACACAGCGAAAAAGGAAATAATGGACTTAACGAATAACACATTGGTTGCTGAGTTACTTTAATCGCACTGGACACGACTTTAACCGGCTGTGATTACAAATTACTGCATCCACGAGCGGCGTAAAAGTAACTACTAAAAACTACAGGAAATAATCAATTCTTATTTTAAATACTAATACGAATAGATTGCGCAAAACTTTTGCTCCCACACATTCCACATGAGCGAAAAAAAAAGACAGCATTCTTAAACTAAACGGCGTTAAAAGGGAAAAAAACGGAAAACTTAAAGTGCTAATCAACTGTTGTTTGGATGTAACAATACCTACCCCTTTCTTAAACTTTAAACATTTTCAGCTACGGAAGCTTCCTTTGGGTCCCTCAAATAGCACTTAAAATTTCGAGAAATAAAATCGAATGTTACTCTTAAGACCAGTTCTTAAGAATTAAATTAAATTCAAATTTGAAGAGGCAAAAGAGACGCAAATATGGTGATTTCTAATCATTCCCCTGCTTACCTAGAGTCCCAAAAGCACTCAATGAGCAATGAAAGTATCCGTGTTTCTCCGGTTATTCGCGCGCAGGAAAGGTCTCGCATGTTTCAAATGCAGGTGTTTCAAGTTATTCATTCATCAACAAAACCATTCTCATCTTCATGGATACCCTACTTCAAGCACCGGCATACAGAAAAGATCAGTTGTATACAAATTTATCCCTACTTGACTCTGATGATCTTTTCCGCTCAGGCTGTCAAAAAATCAGTCATTTTATCAGAATGCACAATCAACTGCGACCCGAGTTGACCACAGATCTCAAACCAAACCTAAGCATGATAAAGATACATTCTCAAATGCGTCTACACCGGACATTTCAAGGGCAATGTTCCTGCCAATTTTGATTGACACGATGATTACTTTCAAAACACGGCAGATAAGGGGTAATCTTCTAACGTGTAGCCATTTAAATGAAGACATTATGACAGAATAATTTTTCTCAGATTTGGTGTGAAATCGCGATAAGTCATGAGGAACAGCCACAACGTTCAACAAAACTGGGCTGTTTTTGCAAAATACATCTCTCTTTACAAGACATAAATAAGGGAAATGATGACGCTAAAAAGGGACTCTAGAAGAAACCTAAGACTACAGCGTGTTGCAGCATTGAATGGGGAATAGACTTAACCCTATAAAATGGCAGGAAAATTCAATGGCATTGATCTTAAACGTTAGGAAGCATATATTTTTACGGCACGCACGCTAAACACCCACTTACCGGTAGCAATGTGTAAATAATTTAGCATTGTTCGAATCTGCTAATTGACTTTGGCAAAATTTAATATATTATAAGATTACTGGATGCCGAGGTCAGAGAATTTCAGACAAAGAGGTCAGCCCATTTGGTCACAATATAACAGAACTGTGAGTTGAGGGTACGAAAAACAGAGCAAGAATTTTTTAAAAGTATTTTTAAGTTTTGCACTTTTTGATTAGAAAGAAAAGATATACGAGTTGGACTTGTATTGGGTATAAAAAAAAATTATGATTGGGAAAAAAGGGCATTTGGACCTGATCCAAAAGATATTTCTATTGTTGATAGAGAACGAACAGAAACTGGCAAGCAGCAGTGTTTCGTTATGAAAAATGCTGATCCACAGAATTCATCTCGGTGCGGAAACTATCAAAGAATGTTTATCATCCAAGAGAAAGAGATAAACGATGCATGAGAGTATCGATAACAAGAGGATAAAAGCATTTTATTTAAGTAAATTCGATATCTGATGCTGTATTAAATCACCTTAACTTATGAGATGGAAACTCCTTCCGGACCTCGGACGAGATTCGTTTCATTTTTTAAAAGAGACAACTGTAACTTAATTTAAAACTTCAAATGGAGGTCAAATTCCAGCAAAAAAAGCATATATTTAATTTCTTTTAGTACAGCGTGGAGGAACTGAAACGTCACATGAGAAATCAAGCGAGTGGATAATTGATGGCGTGCTCATAGTCGCTTGAAGTTACCCTCTCGTCGTTTATCAAAGAGCACGCATTTCAACGGTTTTTTGCATAGTTTAACTATTTCTCAAGCTATGAAACTTGCGTGATGGTATTTGGACTTGAACTTGAATTTTCTGTCATCTACAAAGTTAGAGTCTTGACGTGTACCGGCGTTGCGTTTGATTAGGTAACACCCCATAAGTAATTAACGCAGATAATTCTATAGAAAAAGAAAAAATCACATTTATTAAAAGACATTTTTTAAGTCTATACCTGTTGGTTTTTGTAGAGAGGGTTTATACGGGGGAGGGGAAACCGGAGAACTCGGAGAAAAATAATACCCAGGGAGCCAGGACAAGAAGGTACAACAAACTAAACTTGCATGAAAGCCAGGTCAAAAGGGGTGGAAAGAGAGTGTTCTCACCATTAATATATTCATGTTCCCCAAACATGGATAACAAGAGGGGAAAATAATGTGAGCCAGGGAAGGAGATTATCAATATGATCTTTGGTCGTAGGTCTCACGATGGAGATGAAATAAATGATGTAAAATCCTTGCGATTTTGTTGTCATGCAGTTTTAGCATTGTTTTGTTAATTGCTATATTTGGCTCACCTTGGCAATTTAAAAATCTTGACCGTGTACATGTTTGCCAAAACTTCGACACACGAAGGCACCGTAATGATAGCACCACTGGTGATTGAGATTTTTAAACAAAGTCCTCTGCAATCCAAAATATGGAATCAAACTCTATATGACATGTAGTTCAGAGTTATCCGTTAGCAGAAGATTGGGCTTAGCTGTTATTTGAAGGACGTTTATAAAGAAAAGTCACAACAAACGACTCCTATATAAACAACATTCTCGATGAGAATGTCCTCCTCCATCTCCGTATGTTTTTTTTGTTCAAAACAGTATCGCTATTGTTGGTAGTCTAGGACTTTTCTGCCCATTCAACTCACCAGAGACAAAAGGCTCAGCTAGCTTGTCATCTCAAAGTCCTTTCGATATCCTTATTCCCTGTCAGTGTTTCCCCTTAGAGAGTAAGAACATTTTATTCGTTTGTAAATTCTATCCCTTGAAACTAGTTTTGAAAAATGTTATCTGTGTGCCAACATTTTTTGGCAACTGATGCATTTCTGGATATTTAACTCACATATGTTGACTGTGAAGATATTTTTGACTCAAACACTGCTGCCTCTAATTGTTGTTGTAATTTTTTACAGAGGACCATCTACATGTGGATGAAGATCAGAATTTGAACAAGACAAACAGACGGACTCTTCAACTACAGCTAGAAAACTGTAACCTTCGCAACTAATTTACTCCAGCTGGATTGTTGCTTTTCATATCGAGTTTTTACCTCCCTTTTTCACATAAATCAAAGCGGATTTTATTTCAATGTAAGCTTAATAAGTGAAGCTTCTTTGAAAACTGTTTTCCATATATTTTTAAAGCAAAGTGAAATCCTTCCAAGAGACCACATCAAACATGTGGTCTCCCTATTTGATCTTAAAATAAGACCTTAAAAGAAAGCCTAATTACCTCGACATTTAAGCCTCCATCAGTGTTGGGATTTCAAAAGAATATGCTCAGGACAGAAAGGACAGCTTTCTGTAAGTTCCAGTCTAAGATGAGATAAAAATTTGGAATCGATCGAACAAACATAGTCAAACATTCCTCGGAAACGCCCTTGCGGTGTTCGCGTGAAATTTTTCCTGCGTCACATTTGGCCTTTTTCCAAAGGATAATCTGCTTTGTTTGACACCCTATCAAAGGTGGCTACATCTCGAGGTCAAATTGTTTTCGAATCGGACAATTCTATAATCCTATATACTATGCTTGATCGCAATTGCACGCAACCAAAACCTGGAGGAATCTCAAAGCTCAAAAGACGACTCTGTGAATGTCAAAAGGATAAAGGGGGTGAGTTTCGGAAGAAACTGTGGTGCTGCGTCAGTGGGAGGGTAATTTATTGTTATTAACCGAGTTGAAAACGTAAATTAGCCACCGTAGAGAGTTTAAAGGCTGAAATTTCGAGCGTCAGCCCTTCGTCAGAGCTGTGAATGTCAGCCATAAGTTTGTCTGTGTTGCCTAAGACGGAACAATTTTCCAAAATACTTACTGAATAAAATTATGATCAACACATGATGTGCACTGTCACAGTTTTGGGGTGTCCAGTACCTAAGTCACCAGTGCTTTGGTTATCCCCTCTAGGGATCCCCAAAACGTAAAAAGTCATCTGGACAGCAGACTGGGGCAAGTAACTTGGCCTTGTCATCCCCTCTAGGGAAAAGTGGATCAAATGAGAGACTGAGGCAAGTAACGTGGAATTAGTCCTTCATTTGTCGTGGGAAAAACCATAATTGCTTTAAGACGTCAGAAAATTATCATTTAAAGTTAATTCTCGCACTTGAGATTGTGTTTGGTGGAGAGAAGTGTTCTGTTATTGTAAAGCATCTTGGGAAGAGCGATCAGTCAACAGTTTCAAGTGAGTTGCTTCGCATGTAGAGAGTTCAGCCGATCGATTTAAGACACGTACGGAAGGAGGATCTTTCTCACTTGTTGAGATTTTGCGTTTAAGAAAGTGACAGAAACCTTGTCCTTTGCGATAAGCTTTGAGTCTGTAAGTAATCATAACTGCCTGACTTGTTTAAATGTGTGCGTGTGTGTGGGAAAATTTCCTCTGGCTTTAGTGACCTTTGCAATATAATCAGAAATTTACTACGAGTTTGGACAAGTCAGTGGCGGATCAAGGGGAGGGGCCCGGGCCCCCCCTTCCTTATTTTGGGTAAAAAAAAGAAAAGGAATCGTAGAAGGAAGAAAAGCCGGTAGGGCAAGCGACAACCCCCCCCCCCCCCCCCCCCCCCCCAACCCAAGACAAATAGATCCTCAAAAAACAAAAAACAAAAAACCGAATGGGACACCATATCAATAGGGTTTTGGATATCCTAGTCTATTGATTGAAACACCTACTGCAAATGCTTTATCATTGCTATTGACATTTTTATCCATTTTTAAACAAGATTTTACATTAAAGCCATGGAAAATGAATTAAAGAGGTTATCTCTGGTCTATCCCGCACCTCATATTGACTAGGATACCCAAGACCCTTTAATATGGTGTTCCATCCCATTATTTTTGAGAATCTATTTTCAAGGAGTACTTGCAAGTTATCATGGTTACTTAGGTTTGATTAGAAATTCTTTGACCAAATGACAAACATAACCCTGAGAGGCTGACAAGTATCCTTTCTTCGGTTTGGCCTAAGGGAAAAAAGAAATATTTCTACTTCTTTGATTTAGGGCATGATTGTTTTGGTGTTCTTCTAAGTTCTTGGTCAACAGCTTTTCCACTTTTGAGCTTATTTACATACATACATACATATGTACATACATACATACATATGTACATACATTCTTTATTTGATAAAGCCAGTTGTAAGATGGCAGCAAAATGCTGATGTGGAACTGCTATGTAACAGTATAAAATGACAAAATTTGTATCAAGTAAATATTACAATTTTAAGATGGTATGAGAGTAATAATGATAAAAAATAATAGAAAGAAATTTCAAACATTATGATTTTAAACTAACATCAAAAATATACGAAGGCATTTGTTTTGTTATTGGTTGCTGTTGAATTGGTACCAAATGAAATTTGGTCAACAGTCTTTGAGCACTAATTGTTGCTAATGCTTTTTAATTGCCACAGATCACAGTCATATAAATTGGGAGAAAAGAATATGATTGCTTCCCTAATTGAAGATACCAAGTACTTAGTGATGTGGGTAACCTTTCAAAGATTGATGTCAACCATCTACCACAACTAAATGAAGCAGGTCCAAGTTGTAATATTGTGATACCAGTAGGGCAGTCTTATATGAAGGAATATCCATATGACTAAAGATTAATTGAGTTTCCCCTCCTCTTTGAAGCTCAAGGTGGACAAGAAGTAATTTCCATCTTCTTAGTTTGTATGACACTGATCTTTTGCCATTTATGATGATGAAAAACAATAATGTCATGAGAATTTAGAGATTCAACAGTTACTGAACTTATGAAGGAATGCCCCTTTTGGTTAACATTTGGTTGTCCCCTTATATTTGAGGTCCAGAATTGAATACAATAATTTGGTTTATATAATTGTGAGGATTTGGTTATCCCTCCTTTTTTTAGCTGAAGGTGGGTAAAAACAATTCCATTTCCCCAGTTTGCAGCATATTTCTATTTATATAAAAAATAGATAATGTAAAACAAAGGGTGAAATGATAATAAGAGAATACAAAACTGACTCATTGACCAGAAATTAAGAAACCACAGTGAAAGGGATACCCACATCACTAAGGTTTTGGCTAACCCTTCCTCAGGTAGAAACACAACACATCTCTTTTATTTGGTTCAAATTATCATCCCCTACTCTACAAATTAAGTTAAAGCAATGTTCATCATAAAAATTGGATCTGCCATGAACATGGCAGGCACATTGAAAAGGATACCCAGATTAATTGGAATGTGGTTATCCTCTTCTCCTTCCCAGTCTGATCATTTCCTATTCCTCTAGTTCACATTACTGTGCAGTAACTTGTATGATAGCTTTAAAAAACATTGTTCATTACATGCAGCAGAAAAGGTGGCAATTCTTGAATGAAGTGCTCTAGTCAACAATTATAGAAAAGGCTTTCAGGGTACCTTCTCTGTGATTTATGCATCATCATTTCATATAGTATGATAAGAAATTTCAACAAGAATTAATTAGAGAAATAAATCACAATGGAAACTTTTTTGAAGCGCAAGAGCAGAAACCTTAAAGGAAATAATTATTCATCAGGAATTTTCTTCTTTAATTAACTCTTTAAAAGTAATTATGTTTATTCTGTTTCCTAGTGAAAAGCTATGTTTAGATGTGGATCACATCTATAGTTAGTGATTTAACCCTTTGCCTTCAAGCGTGCTTCTCTTAATACCAGTAATTGTCAGTATTAGATTGTACAATTAAATAAAGGTAGAGAAAGTAAAAAATTACATTGTTGAACAGCAAGTATTATATGACAGGGGGCAACCATAAAGCAGCTCTCAATTTCTTAAAAGATATCCACAACAGTACCTGACCACTCTGTGGGAAGTGTAAAAAAAAGCCGACAGCTCAAGTCCGAGTCTGGGCAAAACAGATTGGACTTGGTTTTGAATCAGAGGGGTATAAAACTCTCTGCTCCCCTAAAAAAATTAGGTCATGCGGTCGAACATATTATACGTATCAATCAAAGAATGCTTGTGGTACGACAAAAAAGCCCTCATACTTATGAGGCTAGTGGAATCGAGAAAAAAGATATGAAAAACAAGGACTACGAAAAACCGTGAGGAAGCTTTACAAATGTTAAGCTATGTTCCTTAACGATGTCTCATGGTGATCCGTTTTAATCACACTTTGAGTGCAGTCGCGACCGAACCCCAAAGTATCACAACCCCATCACTAGACCAGGCCAGGAGAGACATTCAATAAGCTGAAATGGGAAGGGTGATCAAGCGTTATATATTTCTTTATTTGTGTCCACCACGAAAGCTTCAACGATCTGTTGAACAAATACCGCAGTAATACATTCGGGACTTGAACTGATAGTGCCCCGAGTAGTCTGTCAGTTGTTATAGCCTTTTACCTGGCTCACAAAAGAAGAGAAAGTATTGGAGCTCCACGAGGAGCCATTGAATAAGAAGGATTTGAGAGACCACAGAATACTCCGAAAAGAACCATGAAAACATATAATACCCTAAAAATAAGTGATTGCATCATTGATTCCTCTCTCTTTGTTCCTTATGAATCGAGCTTCTTCTGTAGATGTAGTTCAGTCCATAGAGTATTTCGCAGAGAAGAAACCTGGGTCCACGATTGTTTTTGTTGTAATAACTGAATATAGAAAGTGCACTTTTATTTTCCAGAATATCTAATTGCAATTTTTGAACTTTTGTTCCACCGGAACTGTCTTTTTTGTAAAAGCTGACAGAATACAATCTAATCTTGCCAATAGAGGGTCCTTAAAGAATTAAGACCGCTTTAGAAGAAAGGAACAGATTTTATTATTAAAGAGAATGGTTTGCCTTCATCACCTGCTCCCATATTGCACGAAAATTTGTCTAGCTTTTAATTTTTCGTACGTGTCATTTTACATGGTTTCATACGCAAGTGTGGTTTATTACATTTAAGATTGATTTTCAAAATGGGATATGAATTACTGTTGTCTATCTCGACACAATTAGTTTTTTCATCGAAAATAATCTTAAAAGCTAAGCCGAAAGTTGATGATTAGGTTTCATCTGTCATCGGTGATGTTTTTTCCTGATTATGTATTTCGGAAGGCTGTTTCTAAATTTGTCAAATCAATACAGGAGATATACACAAAAGGGGAAGGCAACTTTTAAACCACTGCGAAAAAATATGTCTAAACTACTGGTGGTATTTTTGATGAAAAAAATACAAATGTTAATCAGAAGAGGACATGTTTATAATGAAGTAGCGATAAGCTTTTGAAGCTTTGTTGTCTTCAATACACCTATCTACATGTTTTATTTTCTGAAGAGAATTAAAGACGGGAAATGTAGAGCAATTTCAAACAAAACAAAACATTCTGCATATTAGATTAGAACGCCTTTTTTTTTTTCTTTTTAAACAAGGTTTTTGGTCTTTCCGTGCTTTATGGCACATTTCATAAATGTGATAGCAGCGAAATATCGTCAATTAATAATTGTTTCTTCACTGCGCTGTCGGGTTTCAATATCAAGATAGCGCTGCTAGTTGAAATATTAAAAAATATCCGGCAAATTGGAAAGGCAGATTGATTGGTCACGGTAGAGGCCTGCTCTGCTGTTAAAAGAAGGCTAGATTAATTTCCTCGAATTTCAACCAAAAACTGTGGACTGAAACATCGACGTTCTTCCTATTTATCATGCTTTACAACACTCTTTTTCAGTTATTTTTACGCGTGACTCTTTATATGAAATTCGAATTAAAAGATATTGATTCTTAAGATCATTTTGAACTGAGAAATAAAATGATATAAGAAAAAAAGAACTTCTTGATTATTTGCATACGTCATGCCAGGTTTTCATTTCACAAAATAGTCCTAATGCAAGGAGGAAAAAATTTTTTTATCATATTATTAAAATTCATTGGAATTCTTTTCAAAAAGCTCTCAGCAATTTCAATATCGGTCAGTGAGTGGCAAAATAAACCAAATCCGTGTTGAAAATTAAATGGTTTTCAACATCTCATTTGCTGGGTTTAGCAAGATAATATAAACAGAACACTGCTGGGCTGGAGTTGATGATTTCCTTCTGCCTCCGGGCCAAGATTGAAAATAACTTATTACCGAGAAGCCAAATGCTACTGTTGTTCTGTCATAGGGAACAAGCTAAAAACTTAGTTGAATTTGCAACCTAAATGGTATGTTTTGGCCCCAGTTCGGGTGTTTATCTCACGTGTCCTGACTTCTGAGGCCAATCAATTATTCATAGAAGCCGCAGGGCTTTAAAAACTGTTGTTTGAGAAAAAAAAAGAGAATTATCCACACAGAGCCGAAGGCAATACTTGGTAAGGAGTAGCAAAGATGTCTTTTGGCAACGCAAGTGCAGGAGAACTACTGTCTGATACAAATTTGAGTCAAGGGACGAATTCCAGCGCCAAACAGGAAGTGTTTGGGGGATCTGTTTGTGCTCAAGGTTTCTACTGGCCGATCCACGCACCCTTGATTTTGATTCTCATATCTATTTTGGCTGCCAACTGTGTTGTTATCGTCTTGACGATCTGGAAAGAAACTTTACGGACAGTGAGTAATATGTTCCTGTTTTCCTTGACTCTGTCTGATCTATTGTTTGGTTTAATCGGAATTCCTGTCTTCATGTCCTGTACAGTCACCACCTCCCTTTTACAGTGTACGCTATCCGTGCTTCTTTGGCGATTCACTGCTGTTTCGTCCGTATGTCATCTTTTTATCATTGCTTGTGACCGCTACTTTATTATTTTACATTCTATGAAATACCCTTCAATCGCAACAAAAACCCGTGCCACATGCGTGATAGCGGTAATTTGGTTAGTGGCATTAGCGTCTTCATCCATTCAGTTTGCTTGGTACAAATGGAACAACGACCTAAAAGAACCCAAGGAAGACACAATTCAGATTGACAAAATTTATCTTTTATTGCTGATCATAGTGTTCTTTTTTTTGCCTTTACTGCTGATGTTCTACATTTACAGCTGCATCTTACTTGTTTCTTTTCGACACATTTTCGCCTTTCGTAGACGTCGTAAAAATCTCGACCAACCAGTGCCCTCTATTGCTCACGATTTACGTGGAACCTTTATTTTATTTTTTATGATGCTAATATTCATCGGTTGCTGGCTGCCGTTTTTTCTTCTTATTCTTGAAGATCACATTCTGGAGACTTTCTTTTATATCGTACCAGGATGGGGTTTATGCGTAATCCTTTATCTCCGATTCATTCCCCCAATGGCAAATCCCATTCTATGCGCGTTTTGTAAGCAAGATTATCGCCGTGCCTGGCGTGGTTTAGCGCGACGGCAACAATGGCTCAGCCTGAATCTTCGTTTTTTCAAATTTCCTTCCGTCTCTGAAACTCGCGACAGAACATGTGACAGAACCCCAACTTCAGTCACACTCGCCGAAAAAACAAACAACAGCGGTGATAGCCTAACTGGTTCAGTGAATATGCTTGCTTTGGAAGTTTATTGACAACGGTTGCTGATGTATGTGTTAATCTTAGATCAGCCTAAAAGGAACCAGTCATTTCATCTCAAAGCAGCTGGTTCAAAAATCGGTGAACTTGAAAGGACAGTTCATTTAAAGACTATCGGGCAATAGGTGGGTGACTTTCCTTAAACCCTTTAAATCAAGAGCTGATCGTAAATTCTCTCCTCTAACTGCTACACATTTCCATTTAAATTAGTTACAAGAATTTGGTGTTAGGTCAAGAGATGAACTTCTACCTGACAAGTTTGGGCATTCTTATTACCTGTTTGCTGAATAGTGTATGTATATTATAGGGAGAAGTTACATGTTAATCACCTCTGGAAGTTAACGGGTTAAGATATAAACCCTACAGCTGTGTCAAAGAAACCCACGCATTTAAGTTAATTACGCGTGCGCAAAGTTTTGTACAGCTTTTATCATTTGCGTTCTTAAACGGAGCGAGGGGTTATCTTTTTTATTGAAGCGTTGGAAAGCTATTTTTCCCTTAAGGGATCATTAGGTCAGCAGGGTATGTAATGAAAGGGTAAAGGAGTAGTAATAAGGTAACTGACTGGTTTAAGCTTACCTCGAAGAAAAGCCAAACTTAATTCTTGTCTAAAGTAAGCAGAAAATTCTATTGAAAAACTGAAAACATGAACTAAAAGCTTTATCAAACTAACGTCAGAAACGTTTCTGCGGATGGTAAGGGAATCATCTACCAGTGACATGCACAATAATTATGGCGTTTGATTTTTTTTCCTTCAGTCCTACAAAAAAGCTTCTTTCTCTGACTTTGACATTGTTTTTCTTGAGGTGCATTCCAACCATGTAACTTGCTCTCAAATTCATCTTGGACTATTTTGGTCTGTCAATATTAAAAGCTCCTTTTAGAATGCACTTGAAGAGACACTTTCAATTAAGGTGAAGATTTGCACGAGGCCTCTGTATCATTTTTTTTTTTTTTAAATTTCTTAAACAGACCTAACGATTCCTCGATAAACCGTAAAATACAATCTAAGATGGCAAACGCTTTAGCTGTAGGACATGATTCAAGTTGTATCTCAACAAAAACTCTTTCATACGCTGTAAAGGCCATTTTCGTTTCCTCAATACTTAATGAAATACAAAAGAAGCACGAATGAAAGGGGTTTGTGATGATGTTAGGGTCCGGTCATTTTGTTTATCACAGGGGGGATGAGGAGATTAGGAGGATTTTGGCTTTTTCGCGATAAGTCTTACCTGACCCCCCTTGAAGTGTAAAGTTCCTTTTATCCCCCCTCATTGGTAGTTAATTGGTAGTTAATTTTACATAGTCCTGACTTTCTTCTCTATTTGCGACCAGTTTTCTCCTCCGTTATTCCTGAAAACTATAGGATCCCCCGTGTTAAGGATTATTTCTTGTGCCTTTTTTCTAAAAGAATTGTTTGTAAGAGCGGACCGGAAGTGCATTTTTACCGGAAATTACGTTACCCGCGGGAAGATTGATTTACAGTTTCAAAATAAAGTCCCCAGATTGAGGGGAGGAGCGCTTACGCCATAGAAAAGAAATCTTGTGTGGATGTTTTTGTCTTTTTTTGCAGGATTTTTTTCAATGGGAACTCTGGACTTTTTTAGGAAGAGGACTGAAAAAATTTAGGAACCTAAAGAGAAACACCCCGAAAACCCCTTCGCCCCCCCCCTCAGGCGATAGATGATTCTGGGTCCTTAATACTGATGTAACGTCCTTAATACTGATGTAACGTCCTTAATACTGATGTAGCGTCCTTAATACTGATGTAGCGTCCTTAATACTGATGTAACGCTGTCGAAAATGAACTTCTCACAAGTTATCACCTCTGTAGAACGCTCCGGATTCGCAAACAGCTGTGTATTGTAGCAAAGACTGTTCAAATGTTAAACGAAAAGACGAATTAGCTCATAGATATTTTGACATTATAATTTAGATGGTAAATATGTCCATGTTGATTATTATTATTTAAAACATCGTCCAAAGTAAGTTTATTTCAGCTTTTTAGATGGTGAAATCGAGAGATCATAATTGTGTTGTAATTGGTCATTTTTTGAGGGTTTCTTTCAGGACGCAAAAATCAGCCATTCTTTAATTTGTTGATCATCATCTCAGAATTGCTTTGTTTTGCGGAAAGGCAGTTAGTTCCTAACGAACTAATTTCATAACTCCTTTCCTTATTTGCCGAGCCGTTTCTTTTGTATTACTGGTTCAGCTATTGAAATTGAAGCGTAATTTATATATCTTACTCAGTGTCAATCAAGTTTAAGAATTAGTAAAAATTAAAGTGCTAAAAAAA